AAGGATCAAATATCTTGTGATTTTGTGATACCATCAATATTGTTGTTGGAAAAATTATTACATTACTCTTTGAACTACACGCTTCGATTATTTCCTCTGTTTTTATATAATAATACGCCGGAAGATATTCTTTTTTGGCAAACAAGCGACTTCGATTTTTTACGACGTGTTATTCTCGCGGTGAATTTTTCTGGCTGTTCGAATAAAAATCTCTAACACACGTAAGTCAGTCCATATACCAAATTCTCACCTAAGAAAATCCCATAGCTATATAGTAAGAGCTGGATACACGTATGTCGTCAGCGAAGCCCTCAACTGACGGGAACAAAATACAGACTGTTGAGAAGTTCTTGGCATGCCTCGAGTGGCGGTTTGACACTTTATCGACGACTTTTTCGCGGCTGTTCGACTGTGCAGAATCGTGAACGACGGAGCGCGCGCTATACACAAGACGGAACGATTTCGCATTGCCTGCGGTTATTGCGAATCGATTTCTTACGGTGTAATAACTGAGGTTACCAGTGCACGATTACTCCCATTATAGATAAACAAAACGTTATAAAACGCTAATAAAGCTCATTATATAGTCTTGTAATTTTATTAATAAAACGTTTCTTCAAGATAAATCTCTTCTATAAAATATTTCTCAATATCTCAGATAAAGTTTTCTAAAAGCTTTATAAAATATGTCAAAACTACGATACGTACCATAATTTAATTGACAAAAATTATTCGCGTAATATGCTCGTAGAATATATTCTTCTAATGTGATTTTCCTTTCATATTCAAAGCTCAAGTCAAAGTTCTGTTTTTGACGCAGCCTTTAATTTGTGCCATGTGTAGATGATTCGCTAATTAATTATCATCGTCGTATTAATTAATCATCACCATTCGTAATGGATTTAACGCCCGATAACGTAGTCGGCAGTTTGTCAGCTCGCGCTACGAACACGTACGGCGCGTATGCATTCAAACGCATTCACAAACATGGATGTCCGCGATAGCATTTCCGGAGCATTACGACATTCACCAATACTCGGAGATATCGACGAAATATTTAAACACAAGCGCACACGTCAGCGGCACTCGCGTGTTAGTCACACGATTATGCACAAAGAATGATGTCGTCGTTCTTTGTGAGGAAATTTATTTACTACGATATATGCCGATTTTTCAAATAATTCGCATAATTCAATATGATGAAATAAGAACCTCATTAAAAGATTCATTAAATCTCGTCAAATTCAACATACTTGTAGTATAAAAATACTATTCTTACACACTAAAAAATATTTGAAAATGATAAAAATATATTTGAAATATGCCCAACCAAATCTATTCAGTTATTCTAAATTTTGTTAAGAATACTGTTGACACAATTTATTGACAAAATACTGTTAACACAATTTTTTTTCCTAGTGTGCAGTCTTCCAACAACAGTCATTATTAATGTAGTTATTCAATATCTACAATGCGTGCAATACCGTGTATGTCATGTATATTTGTTTGTGTGTAATACGGAGCTTCATACGCAAACATACACAATATCTTCATTGAAAGATAAAAATAGGTCACAAGTTTAGAAAAAAAAAAATAAATACAGAAACTTTATAAAATTGAAAGTTATTCATGCAACGCTTTCTGGCTTGCTTCATAAAATAAATAAATATAAAAATAAATAAAAGAATAAAATAAAATTTAAGCATCAGTCAGTTATTCATCGCGCTTTTTCACGTTTGACGAGACGAAGCACAGCTGCACAGTCAAAGTTCGTGAATAATGAAACTTTTGACTAAGGTTTTTGTTGATGCAATTCGAATGTACCTTTGTGAATGCATAAAGCGTAAGTCGAATACTGTTAGGTTTAAGCTCATGCTTGAGAAAAGAGAAAGACTCATGCGCGGTGTATAAATTTCAAACTGTAAGCGGAACTCTAAAAAGGATATTAAGCTAACAAGCGTAAATATGAGTCTCGCAATAATATCCGTTTTTAATCTACAAAGTCTTTCTATCCGTTCTTCCTTCGTATATATTTAGATTGTTAATTATTGTTAACATAATATTAAACATTGGTTTATTAAACGTCCTGGACATCTTAAATATATAATGTCGCCGACGAATTTCGTTCAATTTTACGTGAATCATATTTGCTTTAAGCGAGCGTCCTCATTCGTGCAATTTTAAAATGTGTGCGACTCAAAAGCGAGCTATGTTCATGTTAAATTCTCATTATTAACTACGACGGTCGCAAAATTCCTGCACTCTGAAAATCGAGGACCAGTGTCGTTTCAGTCCCTTTGATATCGCATCTGCGTGTAGATATATCATGAAGTTATCAGTTCCCCGTAGAATCCATTTCGATTCTCGCACATTTGTAGCGCCACTTCCGGTGGCGAAAACAAAACGAGCCGAGCGTTGGGCATGCATTCGCCCGGCGAACGACGCGATTCGCTCGTAACTTTCGCAATAAATCAACAACAGAGATACGTAAACAATTTCTATCATCTATCCGTTGGGACTTGTAGAGAGATCAATCATAGAACGCACGCTGGCGGCGCGATTTAATTATTTGGCATGGTCATCGACCGATCGGACAAAGATTTCAAGAGCGAGAACTCCAAATGCGCGGCTCTATCATAATGTTAATAATTCCGCAAAACTGATCTAGATTTTAGGAGAAGCCACACAATTGTAATCCCTACATTTTTTATTTACCTATTTTTATTTATCCAGTGCAAGAAAAAATTGCAAAATCTCTTTACATGATTCTTTTAACAACAATTCATCTATATTTTTTTTTCATATTTGTGATATTATATTTTACTTGAAAAATACTAAATCGAAATAAGCCAAGGAAAAAGAAAAAAATTTGGTACAAAAATTTTAACAGGGACAGGGATGATTTGCCACGCCACTGGACGTGTTGAAAATGATAAAGCAGATGGACAACTAAAAAATGTTCGACGTTGACAAATTTCAATGCAATGATTGTACGCGGAAATGCGGGAATAAATATGGTAACCTCACCGAGATATGGATCTCTCGCGTCGGTCAGTGTGCAGAAGGACACCGCTGGCCTTGCGAAGCGATCGGTTTGGATATACATATAAAAGCCCGGCGTGATTCTGCATTTTAAATCATGCCCCGGCTTTTTCCGTCCTTTTCAATGGCGGCAGCTGCTTTGCCCAGCTGTCAATAGCACGGGCGTTATGAATCTGAACAATTTGCCGCGTTTATCGCTTTAAATATGGGCACGCATCGTTGATCCGTCCGTCGTCCTCAATTTTGCTATACTAAGCACGGTTTTTCATCGCCGCGAGTATTTTTATGTGGATTTGTCAAAAAAAAAAAGAATAGAATAATAACAATCGCCATTCATCCGCTCACTGTTGCCGACACAGAGATTTTATCTTTTTATTGCAATGTATAATCTATGACATGTTGTTGACCAGAGTTTAATTATTAAAGCTCTTCAATTGTTAGTAAAACAAAACTATTTTAATTTTGCAAAGTTCTTCTGATTTCTAAAAATTGTGTTTCTACAAATAATTCTAAAAATATGATACGGTCTTAAAATCTCAATTGAATTAGCAACAAGTATCTTCGTGTCACTAAAATAATCGAAAGCAGTTATTTATTTGTAATTTGTTTTCGCGTGGAATGCCGAGCTTACTATCGTCGCGAATACGTACGTATTTATCGTGACGTATATTATATTATTCAAATATAGAAGCTACATTTAGCAGAAGTGACAATAACAGTCAGTGTTTTTCTCATGTCGTTCGTGGACTTACTTTCTTGATTAGTAGTGATGAATTTTTATGCGCTTCATCTGTGAATTCGCCGTTGTCTGCGCGCGGTAAAACAAGATATGACATCCAAAAAGACAAGGCAAGGGTGGAAAAAGAGCATAGCTGACGAAGGCTCAGAAATATGCAAACGCGGACAGCAAATCCCCGAAGCGCATCTACGTGAATTACAATGATGAATGTACGGCATCTTTTTCGTGTTGCGTTACATTACTTTCGCGCGAAATGCAAAGCTGATTGATAAATCTTCCAATATTTTAAACAACTAATTTTCGATTCAATTTTAGCAAAAATTTTATAGCAGGATCAATGATACATAGTTCCATAAATATCTAATTTTTTAAAACTGATTCTATAAAAAATGCCAGACAAAAATTAGCAATATAATTATTGTAAAAGCAATAATTTTTTAAAATATCTTAATTCAATTTCCTAAATTAAATTTAGTTGAAACAAAACTATTAACAAAAGAAAAAATAATGTGCGTGTAGAATCCAATTATAAAAAAAGATTTTCTTTCTTTAGGAAGCTCATTATAATATTAATTTGAATGTGTAACTAGTCTTTAGTAGTGAATTAATTTTTTTATAGCACAAGAAGAAAAGAGAACTTAACCAAGAAAAATATCTTCCTCCAATTTCATGTATTTAAATTAAAATGAAATTGTAAAACGGACAATATCCGTTCTTTGGCGTATGCCATATTCTAAAGTACCAGTTCCGCTTTAACCGGATGTTTCATAAAAAATAAATAAAATATTTTTACAGTCGGACGGGTGTTATTGTATGTTGCGTAGAAACAGATCTCTCAAAGGGATAAATGAAAAATATTGCGTGACTCGCTGAATCGTTGCCATACATGCATGAGCACAATAAATCGAGATAGTCTTTTGTGGCTCAGTTCGGTCACAAAAAAATGGATCACGGAAAGTGGATATATCGGCTTTTCGCGAAATTTGTACGGAAGATAAAGCGCTTAGATAGACTTGTGTCTTTCATCTGGTTTCAATCTCGTCATCTCTTTTACATCCGGTTTTGGTGTATTACATTTTAATCGAAAAAAAAAAAGATTTCAACATCAAAGAGTAGATTAGCGATAGTCCACGCTATTCCAGGGACTTTTCGCTTTATTCAATTAAAAAGATAATTTGTTAAATAATTGTGTGATTAAGGATCATATAAGATTACTCACCTTCGTACACCCAGTCCGGCACTCCGTTGTAGATAATTCCAAATACTCCTGTATCGGTTATTTGATAGTCATTAGCCACCTCCGCCTCCGGTCGGTAGTAGATATTATTCTGATATACGTAGACGAGGGCATTGCCACGTGGCGCCCAGGTTGCGAGCTGCAACGGCGTCGACTCGTTCCCCGCCAATATCGTCTCCGTTCTGCAACACAATTATATTGTGTGCTTGTTAATGCGGTGAAATAATTACCACGGTTGCCGTAATTATTTTTCGTGCACTTTGCAGGATCGACCACTCAGGTTTTTACGTCCCGCGGGAAAAAAGCAATTCGTGCGCTTGCCGCTTTTTCGCATTTCCTACTTCGTGTTTCCGACGGTAAATAAAAAGTTCATCAGTCAGTATCTCGAAAGACGTTGTGCTTTCAGAGATAGATGGTCGCAAAGAAAATGTTGCGCTGCGAGTATCTGCATTTTTTATGGCTTAAGTGACAAAATTACAAAAAGAGAAAAATGAATTTCAGAGATAGCGGAGAATATATTTTCAACTTAAAAAGTAAGCCCTATATCTATTTTGCATCTTTCGATCTCGCTAATGTACCATTCGTCGAATGAAACACAGTGACTTTCTGCGAGTTTGTTTCCAGGAAAAAAAATATCTATTATTTACGAAATAAGGAGAAAATGCGAAACGCGAAAAATATGCACACGCAGAATAATAATTTTTTTTTTTTTTTTATAAGCTTATCTCGCAAAGTCGTTCGGTTTTGGTCGAACAAATCCGCGATTGCAAAAATAAATACGTGATCAAGGCAGTGTTAAAATTTTGAAGGATTTATGAGTTGAAACAGATAGCGGAGGATACAGGGGAGAATATCAGAGCATCGGAACACGTTCGTGTTATTGTTTAGCATTCGTGACCGATCGTAGCAACCAACAATGACGTCACCGTGTCCCGGTTGAACAATGCCGTAACTCTGTATTATTTTAGGCGCGCGCGCACAGAGATTCTAGTTTGAAACTACTAGACAACCTAGAAACGTAGTCTCGCATAACTACGACGCCGTATTGTTACGTGGCTTTGGTCAGAGAAATGTAATACGAGCCGCAAATTCTTCGTCAAAGGTTCGAAACTTAAACAATGGTTGGGGATTATTATCGGCCAGGGAATAATCAAATAAAGCGGCGAATAATTACTCTGGGAATAATTACAATTGCGATTGAGAAATGTAATTATTAAGCTCAAAATAGATGCACTAGGGAGCACGCCATTTCTGCATTTTGATAATATTACGTTTAGGAAATCATATTGTTGATGCTTTCAGTACCACAAAGACTATTGTGGAACTAATTGTTGAAATATATTTTCTCTACGTTATTACATTACCGTCTTGTTACATGTTTACATATGCGCATTATATTATTTTCTTTTAATTTTCTTAATTTATGTCCTATTTTCCTTCAAAATTTTAATCGCATTTCAGATAAATTTAAAGAAGAAACAATCAAATAGATATTTTTATTTCTAGTTTTACAATTTCCTCGTAAATTAAAGTGCAAGCCTTGATCGCCTTAATTTTTGCCAAGATTAAAGACTTTCGCGTTCGTGCACGATTAGGTAGAAACTGTGCACAAAAGACTTAAAAAAAGCCGATTAAGGAAAGTTGATTTTTGTTTTCGTACGTCGTAAAAATATCATCGTAGAAATTCTACAATGTGTAGATAATGTAAATCGATTAAAAGCATTTTGGCTACTTGTTTACTTAAATAACAAAGCAAAAGGCTTTATAAATATACACACAATTTTAATTGCTTTTTCTAGGTGTGACATAATTTTTTACAGTCATAAATATCTGCTTTCGTGTCATAAAATTTTGAATAATGAAAATATTTCATATTTTAATTTTTAACTATAAAATTAAAACGCAAATTTGTAAATGCATTGCTCTATTTTTCTATAGTTAACATGTTGTTAATTTTATATATTCATCATATTGCTACTGTTTATTGTTATTTTAAATAAGCGCATTATCCGCGCGTCTCAAATAAAAGTTTTAAAGTCTCGATTAGACTTTCGTGTGGCAGATTGCCAACTATCGCAACATCCATTTCCGCGTACGGAAAACTATCGGAATCTATTCGGCAGTAAAAACTGTTGGCAAATACATTATCAAGAAGAAATGAATAAAGTCACTGAAGCTCACGGCACTGATAAATGAGTTAAATAATTGCGCGGAAACGATCGTGTAATTTACGTAAAACCAAATTTACTTTTGTAACCTGCCAAACTCGTTCTTCCAAACGTATACTTAGAATTTTTCAATTTATGAATTGCTTCTGCTAAGTAAGATGCTTTACAGAATTGCCAAACAAATCAAAAATTCATTTTTCCGTTGTTTCTTAAAAATTTTCAAGAATTTAATGTTTAAAAATTGTTTATTATTGTAAACAGTATTTATTACAGTATTTCATACTTGTGATGAAAGCTTGCTTTTATGGAAACTTCAATCTACGTCGATAAAAGAACTCTTCGAACTCTAAAAAAAAGCAACTTTTATTTTATGTCGCCGCAATATGCGTTCACAAACACATACATATATTCTCAAATACGTTTTCCGTCGCATATGCATGTATACGTATGCATACACTCGAAAGAGAAAAGAAAGGAAATGTTAAGAAAGGCAAGACAACAGAAATGAGAGAAAGAAGAATCTCTACTCTAGACAATAAAATCGGAAACCGCTGGTATATAAACTAAAAGCGCACTGTACGTTCTGAAATTGATTCCGTGATGATTTCTGGGATTGTAAATAAAACAAGCAAAACACGTTTATGATTATCTAACTACGCGTATATCAGTGGAAAAGAGAACGCATGAAAATTATTCGAAATCTCGGAGTATTCCGTAAGATCAATGTTTCTATTAATAACACGCGCTATTTTATTTTTAATTTACTGAAGCCTCAATCATCTTAACTTCTTAAGATGATGTTGAGGTAAACGATCATCATTTCAAAATTGTCTAAAAAATTGTTAAAAAGATTGTAAAACTCCGCCAAACAATTAAATTGAAAAATAATGTTCTAAAGTTAAGAGAAATGTTCCCAAATTTGTAAAAAAAAAATGTATCTGTCACTGTTGCGCCGATTCGTTCGACTGCTCCTATCTACGCGTCAAAAAACGGCAGTTTTTCCGGCTGGATTCGCGCAATGACCTACGGCATTCCGTCCGCGCCAGCCGACCGCGGAAAATCGATGAAAAGCGTACGCGCGACTTGACTGCCGTGTTGCCGTTGGATGACTCGTCATCCCGTTGCGGCAAACTTCTTCCCGAAAAGCCATAAATAAAGACGCCGGTATTCATGCGCTTTATGGCAGAGAGCTCGCCTCGGCTAGCGCGGAATATGTACACAGCGAGGAAACTCGCGGCTTATTTACCCGCTTTTCCGTCTCGCTCCTGTTCCCCAACCTTTGCTGTCGCCCCAAGTACACCGGTGTATCCTCCTCCTAGCTTTTATCGTGACACCGAAAGCCAAAAACGACAGCGGGTTTACTGTCCCGGCCTGTTTTTCGTGTCGTGATTGCCGCGAATAAGCTATTGTGGAAAGAGCGAAATTTACAAGAAAACGTTCTCCGATCTACGTTATGTTAAATATCAACGATAAAGTAATTAATAATTTTTCATTTAAATTTCAATATATATTCCAAGTTATTCTACAAGTTTTTATTTTATCCTCCACCGTCGAGTTGTTAGCAACGATAATGACCTTCTCGCATGTAAATTTTAATCGCGATAGTCGAAGTAACTGAATATAAAGTTCCAAACACATACGCAGCGATGCGTGTGGATGTAAATATTACAATTGCGGAAACAAAATTCCGAAGCGAAACGTTTTATACGCGCATGAAGCGCCGTCTTGGCACGAGTCCATTTTCTCGTGTCGAATGAACGGATACGTATACCGCAAATATATGCAGATGAGCATAAATTTCGTAAGGAATTTATTTTACCGCCCACCCTAGTGCGTTGTATTTCACATCCCCAAAAAATGTCTGGTATTTGCTTGACGCTCGGCTCCGCGAGAAAAATCGCTCCTTCACGTCGAAACGCACGCGTAATATATGAAACAACGATTATTTATTGACATGAGATTATGACACATAGTATTGAATGCAATGTACGATATATCAAAGACGATTCCTCGCTTTCCTAAGAATATATATTCATCTTTTCGTTTCCGCACCAAAAATATTAGAAATGGCAATGCAGTAACCAGGCAATAGATTTTATTTATCTGTAAAATTCATCACAAATCGTGCGCTCAATTTGCTTAAAAGTTTATATATATTTTTTTTAAATTTAAAGACACATTTACAAGATAATAAGCGTGATATGCGTTATAATTGCTTTGCGGTTTCCTTAAGAATCAAATATGTGCGGAGTTTCTTAATCATCTTGATTTTAGATCATGTTTATATGAACATTCTTGCGTGAAATTACATCAAAGCGGAAATTCTACTCTCAACATGCTCGCGAGACGCTCTGTACATGAAGATCGTTCGTTTCGTTTGTGCTCTTAAAATTTGGCTTCTCCAAAAGCCAACGATGTAACTCAAACTTGGCAGAGGGGATTCATATATGTACGTACGCTTGCAGTAGTTATGCAGCTAAATCGCGAAACAGCGCGTATAGGTATGCAAAGACGACGTGCGCCCTTTACGCCTGCGAAACGCCGTTCAGAAGCGCAGAGCGAGATTTGATCTCCGCGATTATTTGAGAACGATGATCTCAAGCGCGACGGCGAAGTCAAAATTTGTCTGCCGCGCAAGCCGTGGGCATCCACACACAACGGCGAAATTTCGCGGAATTACGTTCTCTCAGCTTGGCGATTAGGTCGAGTTCCATGGATTCCGCGTGAATGAACTTCAGACTTTTCCTTTGGAGGAGTGCAAACGACGGAAATCTACCACGAGGATAACGCTGTTTCCGTGAATCTCGAGAAAGTCCTCGCTATTTCGCACGACGAGAGAAATTGGTCTTCGAAATTTTGCGAGTTCTACCAGCGACCTAGTTTCGCAAATGATTTAAATGCCAGGAGAGTTTGATTATAACGAAAAAAATCCTATAAATCCTAAAAGTCTATTAACTCACAATTATCGCGTCCAATAAATCAGTCTTCAATTATTGTAAATAAATTCTAATTATAATAATTGAATTTAAAATTGAAAAAATTTTATACGTTAATGTATTGTATTCAGAGCATTCATATACCTATTTATTTGTCATAAATAAATAAGCAAATGTGGAACGTTAGTCAATATGCATATGCGAGATATATATAATAATAAACTGAGCGAACATATAAATAAATAAATATATATTATCAAGCTAAATATGCAAATAAGTTTAACAAAAGAGATGCTGAATTGCATACTGATATTAATTCTCCGATAGCCTTAATTAATATTAAATTCAAATTAACGAATCATATTGACTATTCATCGAAACTAATTCGGAAATTCACTAAATATCGAAGTTTAGCAATTGAGAGAATATATCCTTTCAGATAAGCTGAAGGAAATGCTCACCGGAAATTAAAGAAAATGGAGAATCATTTGGAGAGGCAAACGCGCGGCACTATCTGTATTGTCTTTGCAAGACCAGCAAATGTCGCGGCTGCGAAAAGTGCAATCGTGCGAATAAGTTTAGGCCTTAAATTCTTTTCGTCGGCGAAAACGACGAGGGAAGAGATCGAGATCGCAGCGGTCGGGAAAAGGCGTACCCCGATAATCGTGATATAACCACTCCTAAATGCTGAGTTAATGATGAAATCCGCGGAGGAAAGTTCTCAAACGCGGAACGGAGGCGGTAAGACGATGACGGTAAGGCGCGGCAGGATTAAATTCATGCACAGTTTGTAATTTGCACACGGCGGCGACGACGCCCGGCTTTTCCAACTTCCCCTTCTCGGGTTACAGCTCGGGCCGAGATTAAAATGCAAATCCGAACTTGATCGCGGAATAAATTTGAGATATGATTGTCGCAAGCACCGTCGAGACACGGCTCGTTTACTTACAGAGTCTCCAGGTTCACAATTCTGTAATGAGCCACGTACGTATGACGATACAGCTGAAACAGAAACAAGAGAAATATTTGGTTAAATTCCTTGAATTGGATCAACAAACATACGTTGCAAAGGACGCTTTCAAGGAAGGGTGTACATATAAAATAGCTTGAGCGAACATAGAGAGAATATACAGAGTTATCTTCTATAAAATTAAATACTTTCATTTTCAACAAACGCTACGTGCTAACTTTTCGTGAATTTTAACAAACTTTATGGAACATAAAATATATAAATTATATATATCGCTTTATTTTTCGCTTATGCGTCCAAACTTTATTCCTCGCTTGTTTTCCTCAAGTTACTCTCGCGAAATTTCGCACCGTCTTTTTTAAAACGGGCGAGCTTTCAGACCTTAAATTTATTTTTCTCGAACCTTGCCGCAGCACGATTGATTTTGCGCGTTGTACGTTTCCGATAAACCGGTGGTGGAAAATTGATCAAATGCCGCGAGAGCAATGACATTCAAGCGATGGAAATTTCTACTTGAGGAACGTGCGGCGCTAAAAATATCCGTGTAAGCCATCTAAGTGTAGCCGAGAATACGAATGACATAAAATACGATAACATGCCATCCTGCGGATTCTATTTCGTTACCGCATTTTGCTCTGGGTTTCCCCGACGATTCCACCGTGCCATGTGTTGGCGGTTATAAAAACCTCTCGCTCGTGTTATTCGCGTCATTCACGTGGCACAGATTGAGCGGCAAAAATATAATAAAGTCGGCGCTGATAAAAATATGATACGTCCTTCTGTTTGTATTTTTCGCACGCGTGTATGAGATTAGCATATAGGGTAAAAGTAATAAGCGAGGAAACGGTCGTGCGGCAATGCGGTTAACGTGGGGACGCAATTGTAATACACTTTACAAAAATGTAATTTTCACATTACTCTCACTTTTTTCTCACTCTTTTTTAATAAAAAAATTTTATGCGGAATAAATTTGCATAATTTCTAGTTATTAGTAATAAAAAATAAATGCAATCTTATTTGAATAAAAACTTTCATATATTTGCGATCTGTTCAAATAAGTTTGTTACAACAATCAGAAATAAACTTTAATTCCATTCAAATACGGCGCAAAAATATTCCTTTCTCTCTTTTTTTTTTATTATAGCGTATTAAGTTCAAATATATTAAAAATATCAACTTCTATTAAATTGCATTTTATTAGATATCAAAAAAGTATACAAGTTCCGAAGGTATATCGCATACTTACAAGGTTGCTCGACTTTTAGGAAACCGTTTAATCTGACCGTACTTTACGTTTCTCTTTTCATGAACACTCTCTACTACTAATAATAATCATAGTAATAAAAGCAATAACCAACTAACCGTGTGTTTGAAGTTTAAACAGCAAGCAGTGCAACCAATATCAACGCGTGTGCGAATTCACCGGCGGGGACGTAAACCACGCTTAGAAGTTTAATGATCAAACTTTCTGGTCGTGCGGTGAATCGCGACTCGCGAGAGTTTGCGAAAACGCATCTTTTACTTTGGACACTAATGTCTTTTACCTCGGATACTATGTGCAATAATTCTTTTTTTTTTTACACGCATGTAGACTTTAATTTAAAGAAACATAGGAAAAAGTATGTACACTTTTTACTGTTCACAATTTAATTGTCATTAATTATATCCAGATAAAAACTCATGATACATTAAACGATTAAGAATATAAGATTGTCGAAATCGATAAATGCGTCATAAAAATATAACAGTGACAAAAATCGGAACTATCTGTGTACAACAAAACGTATAGAGACCTCAATGTCACTTTCCTATTTGTTTCCTTCCAAAATACTATAGTTTACATTCGCAGTTTGCGATAATGACACATTACATGATCAAGAGAATTAATACTGTAACAAACAGCGACTGTATATTTGCAATAATTAAAGGGATCTGGTGTGTTAATTGGCGCAGGCGTGTGCTCGCGGCTGGAAATGGTCCAGCCATGACGACATTCCCTTGGGAACATTTCGGAGCCAGGGAGATCCGGGCATACGATAGAGAGCAAGCGCGCCGGCCGTCGAACGGACCATCGACAGCGCCCGGCGATACGGAAGGATTCATGGTGCGCCCCGCGCGCTATTTTGCCTCCATTAACTCTTTCGGAGCGGACCTATAAATCATGATCCGATAAGGTCGAACAACGCCATTTTCACGTGTTGCGGCTGCGTTCGCTATCGGTCGCAAGCTCGTTTCCATCGCATTATTCCCGCCTTCAACACTCTGCCGAGTATACACTGCCCTCCATTAATCCCCCTCAACCCCTCCCGCCCCTTCGATGTTCTAATGTTCCTAAGTATAGACGTTCCTTCGTTCACAATATGCAATATGCTAAGGTGTAATTTCGAAATCACTTGGTGTTAAAGCCGATGTATGAATACGTCTTCAAGTGATGATTTGAATCATTTAGAATTACGTATGATTTTTAGTTGAAATAATAAATAAAGAATAGAGTGCCTTGCAAGCTGCAAATCGGATTAAAGTTGTTATCCTGCGCTGTATATATAGAGAAATTATTAAAAATGAATGTACAAAATGTTTGATGTGCTACACGTAATTTCTGTAAATTTTACTCGAATTTGTCATATGCAATATATGATTTATATATAATTGTTATTTTCTCAGGTCACAGCGACAGAATTCGATTAAAATTTACAGAAATTACATATAGCACATTAAACATTTTGTACATAAAATTTCAATAATTTTTCTAACACTCTCAAGATTCTTGGTTTTTTTTATTTATTTCATTTGTTATTTATGTATTTGCAAGAAAATAGTTCGTCTAATAAAGTTGTTTAACACAAGAAAAATATTTTCTTACCAAAGTTTGCGGTTAAAATCTATAGTACAACTGAGGTTTTAAAAATTGGAAATACATTAAATAATTTTATAAATTTTGGATTCACAAAATAAACGACAAGTTGAGATGTATATAAGATCTACTACCAACTTGTTGCTACCTCTTCTTCTTAGAGATTGCAATCGAATAAAGACCTGTTCATTCCCTAAAGCATTCCCTTGCAATAACTCTTCAAAGTGACGAGTGAGATAAATCGATATATTGACAGAAAGTCAATACAATTAAGAATTAAGAAGAAAGATTCTTATTTATTTTACAGAAACATTTATATAGCCCGAATAATGTTATAGCAAAATGTGGCTTGAAATTTTCAAATTTCGTTCAATAAAAACCACGATTATATTTAAAATGGAACATTAATTAGCGCAAAATATGGTTTTATATTTACAAAAACCCTCTGTATGTTATGTTTGTTATAATATTATATTAGAATTATCCACAACGCTACAGTATCACTATGCTATATTAGTATTTTTTATAACACATCGTTCGTATTTTGCCAGATAAACCACACGGGAGGGAAAAATGAAAAATGAATTCTCCGAAATGAAAATCGTGTTAAGAATTAATTAATCAAGATTTACGTTATGAATCGAAAAATGACGAGCTATGCCGCGCCACGGTCCATTGTTGATGCGAAACGTGGGATGGTATGGACAGGTGGCTGAAATATTTTTCAAACATTTCGTAGCAAATTTTCGAGAAATTTTAAGCTCGTTATGCAACGCTGTAAATTAAATAGGTCATCATACATTTCAAAGATATCGAAATTTATTTGTTATAAGTCTTTGAAAAAATAAAGTCAGGAAAATTCTAAACTAATTTATTTTATACAAACAAAATTATCTTATATTAAAGAATAAAATAATTATATAATTTCATGTTTTCAACAAAACGCGAATATTCCCTTACTGATAATAAAGTAGCTGTAAAAGTAAACAAAGAAGCCCGTGAAACTCTTTACCTGCGTAATAAAAGGAAAAAAATATTTGCTGTTCGACGATTACTTCATTTTCCGCAGCTAGCTGGCGAATTCTTATATAAAATTAAGAACGCCGCTATTCCCGAATGTATGACACCAGCGGGAATACAAAATGGGAAGAGTTTAAAGCAGGATTTAGTATTTCTTGCGCGTGGGTTACGAGAGTTTTCCGGTGCAGAAGATATTTCTAACGCGGAATTAATTACCGCAGTGCCGCGAGACACGCATTCCGTTTTACATTGAAGCGCAGTGCTCGCTTCAATTCGCGCGATTTAAGCATGGATAGGCAAGAATGGAGAATGGATGTATATTATTCACGCGGATAAGCGCGGACATGTACGAGCGAGTAAACAATTATATAATCTTTATAAAAAGCTGTTTTTGCATATTATTGACTGATAAGTTTTTCAAAAAATCTGCATATTTTTGAATAATTTTGACGACTAAAAATTGACATAGCTGTTGTAATGAATGCTTCGTGAACTCGTTTGTATGATATTTTAATTTGTTAAACGAACAAAAATTAAATCGTGAGATATTAAATTTTAACCTACGTTCGTCCTTTGAAAAATTTTCCACTAAATAATATTATATACGTGTAAAGGTATACTTAATTAATTAAGAATGTTGATACCTTTATATTCTGTACACAATGTCGATACATTATACTCTCGCAACACTTAAGCAGTAGTAATCTGATGTCCCGAACATGTTGCCAACAGCAATGTATCTGTATTACGTCGAACACAACGAACAGTCCGTTTAATGGCCAAAGTTAAGCAGCTTTGATCATAGTTAGTGCTAGAATGAGTGACCACCTGGAAACATCATGTTTCCTGTTGACAATAATTTCCGTGTTCTTCGCTATGCAGTATTTTACATAACGGAATATACACTCGATGTATCATCAATGGTCAATTAATCGAGCTATTCATTGCGATGAATAATTAGCAATAAATATCCATAATAAATTAGCATGATGCGCGATAAAATTACAAATTTATGTGGCTGACAAGTGCTCGTAAATATATAACGATGAAGAAACATAATGTATCCATATAAAAACAATATGTGGGCAAAAATTATTCAATATTCGAAGCAGGAAATATCTTTTGTTTAACGTGATACAAGTGTTATTTTTTTAAAAC